AACTGCTCTGGTGTCTCTTCCTGCTGTCAGGAGGCCTGAGATCTCTGGGGACAAAGAACCAGGTAATTCAACCTTGTACTGAATGTATGTATTGAGCCCTGCAAACAGCTTGGCCCTGTATATACAGTATATGTTTATGTATGTGTGTGTGTGTATGTATATAGATATATATATATAAATATATCTATCTATCTATCTATATATATATATATATATATATATATATATACAGTATATGTGTGCTATGCTGGCCAGGGTGCTATCCTCTCCCCTGCACCCCCAGTGCTTTCAGGTCATCCTCATCCCCCCCAGTGTTCTCCCTGCCCCATGCTGCCCATTTCCATCCTGTTGTGCTTCTGTGCCCTCAGTACACTTGTTAGTACACTCAGCATTTGTGGTATGCCTGGCAGGGTTTGGAAGATATGCAGTGCCGGCGCTAGTGTAGGGTAGGGTAATGCAGAGTGCAGTGGTTACTGACCTCTATGTTACACTTCTGACTTCTGCACTCTGCTTTAAACCACTGACTTCTGCACTTTGCTTTACACCGCTGACTTCTGCACTCTGCTTTACACCGCTGACTTCTGCACTCTGCTTTACACCACTGTATAGATGTAAAATGGAAGGCTTGTGTGTTGCGCTCGGTTCAAAATCTATTTGGTTTGTCCGTGATATATCATCAAAACAATATTTTATATAAGTCGATGTGGTAAAAGGTGATAATAAAATTAAATGAACACAATCTGTATAAAAACTAATGTGTATATACTAAATGTGAATATGTGATCACAAATGCTAATAAAGTATGTGAAAAAACTGAGTGATGGCTTTTAATCGAAAGTGACTTGAAAAGTATCAAAAAGTGCTAAATGGCCGTGTCTAGTACTAACTCTGAACCCAAAGGCGCAAAGTGAAATTGGTGCAAAAAAAAAAAGTGGATTGTGGACTGACGTCTAAATGAAATCTACCTATGAATTATTGTGCCAGACAATAAAACAGTGGATTCTTTTTGAAGAAGTCCAGACGAGACGAAACGCGTCAAGGGATTCCTCTCCTACGTATCCGGTGATTCTACTAGGTTGAGTGTCCTTTACACTTAAATGTTTTGAACCATCTAATATCCTGTAAGTGTGAACCTTCTTGCGTTCAATAAATTTGTCTAACAACTACACTTAGGATTCTTTTTCTCCTTTTCTTCCCTCTATATTATATTGTCTGATCCCGCCATCTATTTCACCTGGTGGGCTGGTTCAGCCGCCACTACAGCGGCGAATGACTGGTTAATTGTGGAGGAGCAGCAACCATCAACCTACTGCAGCAGCTCCGTGCCGGAGCATAGAAACATTTAGACTGCAGCCTCACTACTGTTACTATTTTTGCTTTCCTGAATCCAACTAACATTTCCAATAACAGAGAAGTAGACTATAGATGAGACTCTGTTAGTAATCCATATATATTTTATCTTTATGTTTTTTCTCTTTATGCCTCTTGTTTAGAACGGTTATGGTTTGAGTGGCTCCGCTCCACTGACATCGATTTGTTGTTTCCCATTATCGCTTATCGTTTTATCGCTTATCGTTTTTTGTCGAAAAACATATTTTTTCCTTTTGAGTTAAGGATTCATTCATCTTCCACCTTGAGTGGCTCCGCTCCACTACCGTAGATTGCTTGTATGTGATTACATCTTTCAAATATGATGGACAACTTGTAGTTCCGCTCTAGATCACCATCTCACTGTTTTATTGTCTGGCACAATAATTCATAGGTAGATTTCATTTAGACGCCAGTCCACAATCCACTTTTTTTTTGCACCAATTTCACTTTGCGCCTTTGGGTTCAGAGTTTGTACTAGACACGGCCATTTAGCACCTTTTGATACTTTTCAAGTCACTTTCGCTTAAAAGCCATCACTCAGTTTTTTCACATACTTTATTTATTAGCATTTGTGATCACATATTCACATTTAGTATATACACATTAGTTTTTATACAGATTGTGTTCATTTAATTTTATTATCACATTTTACCACATCGACTTATATAAAATATTGTTTTGATGATATATCACGGACAAACCAAATAGATTTTGAACCGAGCGCAACACACAAGCCTTCCATTTTACATCTATACATACATTGTTGCGGCTGGTGCCGACATACCTACTTCCAGCGCAAACTATTTTGTTTAATATATTTGCTTTACACCACTGACCTCTGCTTTAAACCACTGACCTCTGCACTCTGCTTTACACCACTGACCTCTGCACTCTGCTCTACACTGCTGACTTCTGCACTCTGCTTTACACCACTGACTTCTGCACTCTGCTTTACACAGCTGACTTCTGCACTCTGCTTTACACTGCTGATCTCTGTGCTCTGCTTTACACCACTGACCTCTGCATTGCTGTATAACGTATTGCTGGAATTTTTAGTCCTCTATAGGAACTACCAGGGTCGTAGCTGCAACCAGGCCCTGGCGCCCCACCTCTCGCTCCAAGCTGTAGAAAGACTACAGTCCAGACAGGAGAAAAAGGGGTCCGATGACTGCTGACATTTCCATAAAAAGGCCCACCAAAATCCTCAGCACCAGGCCCGTGATTCTTTTAATCCGGCCCTGCCTGCCAGGCAGCCGCAATGTAGCAAACCAGCAACAGAATGATTTCTTCTTTAGCTCTGAGATCAGAACCAGCAGTAGCAGAGCTGAAGAGAAGGAGACGGTTGCCTGAGGGTAGGTTGCGGAGCATGGGGGGTTAGGGGCGGTTTTGGGGGCTCCATACAACATTTTGCTATGGGGCCCTGTGGTTTCTAGTTACGCCCCTGGTTGAGTTTCTTTAGAAAGCAACAACAGCCTGAGCATAGAAGCCCATCTATTCCCATGCTTTCTGCGAGGAAGTGGCCTCTCTGTTCATATCGAATATGGCTCCTACTGAGTCAATCAACAAGGAGCCTGGGCTTTGCTGATTGCATAGTTATAGGTTTGAATAAGAAGGGTCTGCAGAGAGACCACTCCATTCACACAGAAAGCAAGAGTCCTTTTTGTCAGCAGACTGGTAGGGGACAGACCTTTTGGTGTGCCTCGAATGTATATAGCCAATTTTAATTAATTTGACCTTGAACCTTTGTGAAATAAACTGAAATGCCAGCAGAGAGAGCTCCCTCTTGAAGACAGGTTTTGCCCCGTCTTAATCAAATTTCTGGTAAGCAACATTGAGACTAGGGACTGGGGGTGGGGCAACATGAAGGACAAAAAAGGAGGGGGAAAAAATCAGATGCTAAATTGAAAAATATTTAGCTGGAAATTAAGTTTAATGTGTATGGCAGTAGAAAAATGTGACGTTGAGGTCACCTCAGGAAGTTGGGTGTTTTGCAACAGTTCTGAGAAGCTTAAAGTGACATTAAAGGATAAAACCCCCCCCCCCCCTCATGTTAGTGTAAGGACTTACCTTAAATTATGCCTCTTGATCCAATCATCTTCTTCTTTCCTGTAGTTTTCAGATGTCCCTCCAGCGCTGGTGCGGGTCTCCGATTCAACGTTTTGTCCCAACAGCATGTCCGACTGAAATGTATTTGAACTGCAGGCAAAGCAGGCCAAATGCAGCCTCTTCGTGTCAAACTCTGCCTTTGCCATTCAAAAAAAGAATGGCTGTCAACATGGGTCCTTAGGATAAAGTTAGTTTGGCCCTGATTATGTGAATGCATTATTCAGCTTAAAGGAAGCTTGTACCTAGGGCATATGCCAGAATTCCTACCCTTACTTCTTCTTCAGAGGCTGCTAGTTGCCTGGCTGCCATGCTAATCCATTGGCTTTAATATTTTCTGTGTCACTAACCCAGAACAAGTACATAGATCAGGAATTCTGTTCCAGGTCAGTGACGCATAAAGCACTAAAGCCAGAAACAGCATTTTTTAAAAGCAGCATGGTCAGCAAAGGCAGTTAGTATATTGGTCTCAGTGCAGATTTCCTTTATTCGTCCATCAAGTTTAATTCTATGATCTCCATAGTAACACCAGGTATATTTTATATGATGAGAGGCCAGATAATATATAAGTTGTTAGTTTCAGAGAGTGTGGGTGCATTAGATCCTCTGTCTTACCCCTGTTGGAGGTTATTTCCCTCACTTCCAGTCTCAATGACAGTGGTCACCAAAACAGGAAATCCTACTGATCGGGACATGTACACAAATAAAACATCCATTTTTAATAGTGAGAATGATTAGATTTTTACTGCTTTTTGTATGCCTTTCATAGAGATCCTCCTCACTTCCCATTTCAGCCACAGTGGTCATTGGTACAGGAAGTGAAGGGAATTCACCACAGTGGGCAAACAGCAATACAAAAATGAACAGAGCTTCTAATCCCTCCCCAATTCTATTCAAAACCACAAAACAAAAGAAACGTTTGAAGTACAGCATTGCAACTTTTGTTAATGAACATCTGCTTTAACCACTGAAAGAGCGGGGTGTTAAACCCCCTTCCTGTCCAGGCCATTTTTCAGTATTCAGCGCTGAGGTACTTTGACTGACATTTATTCAGTCATGCAATGCCACACAGATAGAGATTTCTTTTGGTGGTATTTAATCACGACTGGGGTTTTTTAAAAGTACTGAAAATTTTGAAAACAAAAAAACAAAGCAACTGCTTTCCCTAAGTTATGTTATGAAACTTTTATTATTATGCAGTTTTTTTATAAAATGTAAAAGATGGGGTTGTGTCAGGTAAATAGATACCAAACATGTTGAGACTTAAAATTGTGTGCGCCCGCACGCCGCTCCACGCCCCCAGCTCTCTCATCGTGGCTCCATCGCCAACCCGCCTCCCCTGCTCTGGCTCGGGGTCTTGCCTATCTAAATAAATTGTGTACAGCCAGAATGAAACCAATAATACAATATAAAGAATGAACTGCGCCAATAAGCAAGCTAACAGCTACAAGGCACTGGAATGTACACCCACTGTGAGTGTGTATACGTGGAAAATGAATAACTAAATGTGCCGAGCTAAAGCCAGAATGAAACCATTTGACAAATCCTTGTCATCTCGCAGCAAGTCAACGTATCCTAAGAAAGTGGCACCACCTCCACCATCCCAAATAGCGACACCAAGCAAGAAGCGACATCGAGACCTGCGGAGACCTGCGTGTCGTTATCGGCCAGGAACACGAGCACTCATGGAGATAAGAAAATATCAAAAGTCAACCGATCTGTTAATAAGAAAAGCCCACTTCTCCAGACTGGTGAGAGAAGTCTGCATGGAGTTTACTCGTGGTGTGCCATACATGTGGCAAAGTATGGCAATCATGGCATTACAAGAGGCAGCTGAAGCCTTTATGGTGCGACTCTTTGAAGATTCTTCCCTCTGCTGTTTGCACGCCAAAAGTGTCACCCTCTTTGTTCAAGACATGCAGTTCTCTCAGCGGATTCGAGGGTCGCACCATGGACGTTATAAAATACTGATAGTCCAAGTAGGAGTATAGGCTTGAGGTGGGTTGTAGTATGAGTAAGGCAAGGCGATGGAATTTACTGCTTATCAATTTAGTGATAACAGTGATCAATGGCCCCAGAATTATTGCTCGTACTCCGAATTTCACAGTGAAATGTGTGGGGTAATTGTCGTTTTCGCACGTAGACGCACCAACACATGTTTGCTTTTGTATGTGCGGGTACGTGAGGGCGAACGACTGTACATTTTTAATATGTGACTTTACTAAATAAACTTGTTTTTTTTTACACTTAACTCTATTGCTATCACACAGGGGGCTAACAAGCCAAAGAGGACAGTGGATCCCAGGATAGCTAGCAGCATAGCTCCATACAAGCTCCTTTGTCACCCACACACTTTTATGTTTCAAACTTTCCCGTTCCCCCCCCCCCGTGAGCACAATTAGATTTATAAAAAACCACCCAACTTTAGTAGTCAGCCATCCAGCTGTTTAATTACAACGGACGGACAGCAAACGGTTAAGTAAAGTATATCAGCATCTAATCATTGACTCTTGTGCGCCCACTGGCTTTGGATGCAAGGCCCAGTATGGATCCACCTCGTCCCTACAATCTGATGAATTTTGCATTCAATGAGGACTTAAAAACAGATTTTCTTATGATTAAGCCTTGATTGAGTCCAAAATGCATCAGGAGTGGAGTCATGTCCGGTGAGAATAATGATGTAAGAGGGGCCATGCAGTGGCTGTAATAAAGGTAATTGAACCACAGCAGTGGCCTGGACATATGCTTATTCTGCTAGTGTACATTTTCTAGTAGACATGTAAATTTTGTTTCGTTCCGAATCGAAATTTGGACGAATTTCAGATCCTTCTGAATTTCCGAATTCGAATCCAAATTTTCTTCCCCAAATTTACAAATAAAAAAATTCTAATCACCAGTATGGACAAAGTTGACCAGTAAAGACTAAAATGACCAGTACGGACTAAGATGACCAGTACAGACCAAGATGACCGGTAAGAACTAAAATGACCAGTACGGACTAGGTTGATAACTAATACGGACTAGAATAACCAGTACAGACAAAGAGGACAAGTGCAGACCAAGATGACCAGTTTGGACTAAGATAATCAGTACAGACTAAAAGGACTAGTATAGACTTAGATGACCAGTACAGAACTGAAATGGCCAAAAAAAACCAAATGTACTTAGTTTTTAATTAAAGAACCCCATCCGAATCGAAAACAACAAATTTGGATCGATCCAAACCAACAAAACATAACATTTGGATCGACTCAAACCAAAAATGAAAAAAATGTTAATTGATCTGAATTCCGAATAACTAACCAAATTTTATTTGGGATCCGAAATTCGAAGAAAAAAAATTGAATCAGTACAAAACAAATTTTCTGAGACTTGTCTTTTTTTTACATCAATTCCAACCTTTGACAGTCCATGATGTATATTCAAAAGGTTATCTCTGGAAGATTAATATATAAAAATATTTGGATGTTGAGTTCTTGGACCCAACACCTACCAATGGTCACTCAATTTACCTTAAAATATAACTTTTTTTAAGTTTTAAATAGAGTTTGGAAGGCTTTGCACCTCTGTAAGATTTGTAATACTGTCTGTTCCCATTGGTGGAACTCTCCTTATATTCAGAAACACTACAAGAAGTGAGTGGAAATCTCCCCAAAGTGATGGAGATCTTATCTCTAACCATTGTGAATCCTTGGTTCATGACAGATTGAAACCAAAGCACCAGCATCCAGATTTTGTTTTAGCTTTGGGTATGAAATACTGCCATTATATGAAGATCAAGATCAAGAAAAAAAGCTTAGACATACAGTATATTAATAACGGTATATAATATTTTTTGTTTTGCTTTGACAGGGATACATATTCAATAAACTTAAAAGAATAACGCTAAGCTTATTTAGGAGACCTGTTCCTTTGTTCCTTCTATAAAGGAGACAGTTATGTGTATAAAATATATACAATAATGTAGAAATATGAATCTTTATGATGCAGCAACCCTCCAGCCATTCAGTTGATAATCTGATGCATCAGGCTCTGTGTTAGAAGCAATCAATAGTAAACACTTCCATTACATATAACTTACCTCAACAAACACAACAGAATATAATGAGCACTTTGTCAATGGGCCAAGTACATAACAGCTTCTAGCTTTAGGGAAGGCACAAAACTATATTAAAATTTGCATATGCATTAGTGTTAGTTTAGTGTATTCATATTGGCAACACATCATTGTCTTCACAGATCTTTTCGGCATATAACAATTATGAATGCATGTACTTCATGCAAAAGATCTCAAAGTAGTTATAAACCCAATTAAGCACTAACATGTCAATGTCATTTCAAAAGTTGTTTTCAATTTTAATAAAATAATACTTGGTGATCCTTCTTTGAAATTCCTTGTTCAGGCACTTCCTGTTATAAGGTGACAACTCTCTCCCAGTGGTGCTCCTGTTTTGTCACCCTGTCACATGCACCACAGGAGGAGACTTCAAGCAGCTGTAATGACACTCAATGTTTTAAGCATGGCTCAACGTTGCCATCTTTCCTGAGCAATGATGTGCAGCTGATCCTGGGGCGAGTGCATGTAGACAGAAAGCGGCTGAAAGAGGCTGGAGGAAATCAGCAACACTGAAATGCAGATTGTTCATCATACACAGTGCTTTAGCAAGCTAGATGTAATCTAGTTAGGGTTTACATGTGTACTGCTATTGGTAAGCATACAGACATACCATGAAGGGATATGTTAGCTGTAACTATCAGCTACCTAATAGTTACATTATAAATACTGCAAGTCCATTTACAAACAGTAAAATCCCAGAAGCACTTACCTTAGATGTGGTTCTCTTCTACGGTTGCTCAGAATGATGGGTGCCAGTCACTTAGTATATTTAAAATAGAAAGAGGTTTTATTGCACAGGGCAACATGGGAAGGAGGGTGAGGTGTGAATCAGGATATCCCACAGTACATTGGATCTCATTCTCTCAACTAGGCCTCCATCTCTTCTACATTACAGTCTATGGCTGTTATTCTTCTATCACAGACTTTGCTGGCTGGTTACTTGACTATTGAGGTTCTAGTAGTGTCTCAATCTTCACTTCCAAGGCAGGCAAACATAGGAAGCTTCCTGTATATAACTTCGAACTTAACCATCACTTTCTGAATGGCTCCATGGCCATTAAGGTTCTAGTGGTGTCCAAAACTTCACTTCCAAGGCATGCAAACATAGGAAGGTTCATGTGTATAATTTCCCACTTAACCATCACTTTCTGAATGGCCCCATGGCTATTGAGGTTCTAGTGGTGTCTCAATCTTCATTTTCAAGGCATGCAAACGTAGGAAGGTTCCTGTGTATAACTTCCCACTTCATCATCACTTTCAGAATGGCTCAATGGCCATTAAGGTTCTAGTGGTGTCTCAACCTTCACTTCCAAGGCAGGCAAACATAGGAAGCTTCCTGTGTATAACTTCCCACTTAACCATCAGTTTCTGAATGGCTCCATGGCCATTAAGGTTCTAGTGGTGTCCAAAACTTCACTTCCAAGGCATGCACACATAGGAAGCTTCCTGTGTATAACTTCCCACTTAACCATCACTTTCTGAATGGCTCCATGGCCATTGAGGTTCTAGTGGTGTCTCAATCTTCACTTCCAAGGCATGCAAACATAGGAAGGTTCCTGTGTATAACTTCCCACTTCATCATCACTTTCAGAATGGCTCCGTGGCCATTGACGTTCTAGTAGTGTCTCAATCTTCATTTTCAAAGCATGGAAACGTAGGAAGGTTCCTGTGTATAACTTCCCACTTCATCATCACTTTCAGAATGGCTCCGTGGCCATTGACGTTCTAGTAGTGTCTCAATCTTCATTTTCAAGGCAGGTAAACATAGGAAAGTTCCTGTGTATAACTTCCCACTTAACCATTACTTTCTGAATGGCTCCGTGGCCATTGGGATTCAGGGGAGGGGGTGGCACAGCTGGCTCTGGAGGCTGAGCCAGCTGTCAATCAAGCTGCAGGGTGGATCCCAACAATATTGTCAGGAATGTTCCTGTCTGCAGTACGGCTATGTGCTGTAGCCAGCTTTTTTGCTGAGTTTGGGTCATCAGAGTACGATAGTAAATGTCCTCCTGTGACCCCAAAAAAAACTAAAGCCAAAAAAAGGTTTTGCTATAGTTCTTTTGAAAGGATTTTAATACCTGGCCAATGAGCAGGCTTGGGGGGGGCTGCTATGTGTGCTGGAAGTATCATTACATATCTCAGGAATTTCCTGGCACAGGGGTCTTCCATCCAGGGTTTTACCCTGAAAGGATGCCTTTGTGACCATCTGTCTTACCTTAGGCCTTAGGATCTATGGGAGTGGGAAGTTGTAGGAATCTCCCCTTCTGAAAGGCCTCCCTAAAGTTACTGGCTGCCATTGAGTGCTGATAGGCCCAGAGAAAGCAGAGCAGTAGATGTCCCCCACATGGAAGTGGTGCAACAGAGACTGAGTTGGAAAGCACCACAAGAACCTTCCCATTGCTATCCTGCCTTAAATCCTATAATTGGCTAAACACTTGAAACTCCGTTGTCAAGGAGCCACCCTTAAGGCCCCATTCACACTCCGCGATATGCAAATGGCGCGTTTGTCGCGCGATATGCATTTTGCGCGATATCGCGAGATTTGCCGCGCGATATCGCGCAAATGCTTTCATTAAAAGCATTTTAATTGCGGCAAAATCCGCTCCAAAAAGGGTCCTGCTGTAGCGACGCACGACCCGCGACAGCAGGACCCTTTGCCCCATTGAGAAGCATTGGAGAGTGATATCGCGCGGTAATTAGCCGCAATGTCGCGGGAATTACCGCGCGATAAATCGCTCAATGTGAACGGGGCCTAAGTTTAAGTGTCCAGCCAGTAAAGCCTTGTGAAAGAGGGACCCAGAACATTTAGAAGACAAGCACTGAGTTTAAGTGAACTTGCAGGTATCCTTTGCTCCCTTTACCACCCTCTCCTATGTG